AAAAAAAAAAAAATCTAACTCATGGTCTAAAAAATCTAATATATAAGTTTTGAGGTTGCCAAAACCAATTCCGAAGTTGCTACTCTTCGACTTGGATTTTGCAAAATTCAAGACTTTATGATTGTTAATTCCTCAAATTAACAAAACTCTAAAAGTTTGCCTAAATGCGCAGTTAATACATAAATACGAAAGTAGGCGTAAACGAGAACAATAGTTCTCGTTAGCGTTTTCATGTGTCGTTTTGTGTCATGTTGCGTTTTTGTGTAATCCAGTTACCCTTCAAGAGGATTGCCTCACTGAACATGCCACTGCTTGAGCCCAGTGCCTCAGCTTTGTCTTCACGTGTTGAGGATCATCACCTGCACATTCATTGAGCCATTAAAAGTTGATGAAATGTGTTATTGAAATTGAATTCGAAGAAAAACAAGTTTTAAAAGTGCACTCCACATCCAACACAAAGTTCTTTGTGATATTCTTGGTTATTGACCAAAGTACTTGAACAAATTTGATTCCAAATTTTAAACTTTGCTGCTGCAGATTTATAATCGATCAAAAGAAAAATTAACAGCCTAAAAACTTCCTTTCCCAGAGGCTAAGCTTAACTTGCTCAATTGAACGTATAATCTATTTGAGTTCTGCCTTCAATTTCATGACTTGGACTAGAAGTTCGACTAAGCTATAGTTTCTAGACTAGTTAAGTACTGACTTATATTCTAATTGATCAATGTGAATGTGGATGTCGAGCGCCACTTCTTTGTCTTGGAGGCTCTCCAACTAGAGAGGGGTTTGCTATTGTAACCTTTTATTTAGGTGTATGTGAAAAAGAGTGACGAACTCTGATATTTTTGTCACACATAAGATGTGATTTGCGTTTTAATGAATGTTAAGTAATTTTTGCAAATTTATATTGAATTTACAAATTGAGTTACAGATATATTTTATTTTATTTTGCTACTTTTCTTTGCCGTCGTGTCCTACATTTTCGAAAATAACGTATTCATTTTGTTCCTATGAAGTTTGCCTCAAATAAATAAATAAAAAGAATAAGGCAAGAAACATTAGGCTAAAGCATTTTTTTCTCATGGAATGGTCCATTAATTAATCTAACCTGGACTGCAAATCTTCCATGAATCAGCAGAGTCGCTCCCAAAAGAAGTCGACCGGCCACCGAGAGCGGGCGCCGACTCGGTACTATTTGGACTCAGTACAGGGCTCATCGAAAACTGGCGGTTCACCGCAAAATAAAGGTCAAGGGCAGGCAATGTGTTGCACAGCTTTTGTCCTTGTTCTTCATTGAACCCAAATCCGAGCTCTATGCTTCCTTTTAGCTCGCTCAAATCCTCGTCTGTCAAATCGTCTGAGTCGTTTTTCTTCCGCTCTTGCATGAAAATCTGGCGGCGGCGCTTCTCCCATGCAATATCACGAGGTGTCTCTAACATGGAGAGCTGCTTTGATAATCTCTTCGCCTTAGGATTCTTCCAGAAGGGAGGAGCATTCTCTAACCACCGTAGCTCCTCCATTTCCGACTCGAAAGAAGAGGAAGGTGAAGAGGACGACGACGACGACATTTTTAACTTTCGATGATATGTCTCTTTAATCATCTCCTTCAACAAAAAATGGAGATGGCAGAGCGAATGGATTCACGGCTGCCGTGGCGGATCACAGTATGACACGCCTCGGCAAGCCTTGGATGGTGGTGGAGTCGCGGTGGTTACAGGAGGATTTTCTACGCTCGAATCGGAAGGGAATTTTGTTGATGTTCTCGTGCATGCAGGTGAGGGTTGGGAGGGCTTTTATGGGAGGATTTCAGGGGGAATCTGGCCATGGAATGCGGGGGTCCTCTCTCTCCATAGTCAACCGTTAATATTTAAATTGTCGTGCGGCAAAATCACAACGTTAAATTTGGCAACTGAATGGCTCGTTAGTTGTTTGTTGAACTTTTTCGCATTTTTTAAAAATTTGGCAATTTGAACTGCACAAGCTTTTCTACAAAATTTGGCCAGACAATGCACAACATATGGTGGGTGGGTAATTTTTTTGATATTATTTTATCATCCACATGGAGCCACCATGTGAGTAATCCGTAGGACTTCTGTAACCTCCTTTTTGTATAAAGAGCTTAAACCTTTTCGATTTAGACAACCTCTTAAAGTTGTTCTAAAAAGTAAGAAAAGAACTAACCATTTTGATTCAAATTCGTACATGTTCTGCGGTACTTTTAAATGTTCGTAAATTTTTACTCAACTCCTATTTGGTAGACTTTAATTTAATTTATTTTTGATACTCATTTTCAACCATACATTTATGTAATAAAATATTCTAGACGTAATTCCAAAATTTTTCTACTTTTTAATCATATATTCTCCAAAAAATACTATTCAAAACATAATTTTTTTTTCCC